TTAAAAAATCTTCCCAGAAAAGCTATAATAAAATTGACATATTTAATAAATAACGTTTCGTTTACGACACGTACCCAATATGTGGAAGGTTGCAGAAATAATTATTACAGTCCAATTTCTTTGCTCATAGTGATGTCAAAAGTCTTCGGAAAACTCATCCTTAAAATGCTTAAAAATCATTAATACAAAAAAACAACTTATAGTATCAATTGGAATTAAGAGAACGACATGGTACAATTGATCAAGTATACAGAATATTGGATCTTATAGAAAACAACCTCGAAGGAGGAAATATTTGCTCTGCAATATTTATTGACGTAGCATTCGATAGTGTATGACATAAAGGTCTTATATGTATATAAAATTAGTGAGGTACTGCCAAAACAATATGTGGATGTCCTAAAATTTTATATTTTAAACCGATTACTTCGAGCTAAATACATATAAAAACAAGTTTACTGATTTAAGAGAGATTAAAGCTGGAGTTCCGCAAGAAAGTGTTCTTACCAGAACAAGAGTGTTACCAGAGCATTGTCCTCTCATATATCCGTTGTTACATTCCCCGACGATGTAGCTCTATGATTGCTGTCGGCGATAATCATCATGAGTCCAGAAACAAATTGCAGAATGGTGTTAATATTTTAACTACTTGGATGATTTATTAATTAATTTTAGAAACAAAAAATAGAAAGATTATAACTATAAATTACAATCAATAATAACATCATATCATATTTGGACTCAACAAAATATATCGGTGTACATCTAGATAAAGAAAATATAAATATAAAGAAAAAACTGGAAGAACTGCGAATATAGCTGGCTAATTGGAAGACAATAAAAGTTATCCATATCCAATAAAATACTAATATCAAGCATATGCTTAAATCCGTATGGTTATATGGTATACAAATATGGGGATGCGCCAAAAAATTCCATATAGAAAGCATGGTATATAAGGAACAGAATATATTCATAAAGATCTTGAAATCACAGATGTATATAGCGAAATAAAGCGCATTGCACAAAAACTTGAATCAAGCGTAGTAGTGTGTCTCATCTTCTCGAATATGCAAATCCGAAGAAGATTAAAACCTGTGTAACCTAGATTATTACTTCTGAAAGCCAATGGGTGGCCAGACGATTAAACAATCTAGTTTTTAGATTTTAATATAGATAAAACAGTGGTTGATCAATTTTGACCTGTTTTAGTGCTTAACAAGGAAGAAAAAATCTTTTCAGAGCCTGTTTATGTAGATTGCGTAAAACATCAATAACCGAAAATAAGATGAACAAAAATCCTTCTACAGATATAGCAGAATGTATGTTTGTAATAAGTTATAACTATCGTCTACCATATCATAATTATAGATCCAGTAAAAGAAGCTTGGAAATCAGCGCTTAAAGGACATTATGCTCCTCATGAAAATGTGTTTTCCCATTTGTGTGTAAATATAATATATAGATAATTTATGTAGATAATTTGACCAAAGAGAATATTAAAATATGTGAATTGTGCAATACTAATACCAGCTATACCGGGTGATTCATTAGCTCTATGACAAACTTTGGCAGATGAAAGGTGATGCGATTCTAAGGAAAAAATGTTATATGAATATGGGTCCGATTCATTTTGGTTAAAGAGTTACAAGCCTTTGAAAATTTTACACAGTTTAATAGGCAAATGAAAATGTAACATAAAAAATAAGTTTAAAAATTACAAAAATTGTTCGAAATGTCCGCCTTCAGCTTGAATGCACGCTTCACATCGACGAAGTAAAGATTTGCAACAATCGCAACAATAATTATGAAACACAAATACAGAGTTGGCTGTGATAACAAAACTGAGTTCTTTATGTAAAACATTTCAATTTACTCTATTCTGTGTGTTTCAAAGTTTATAATTGTCAGAGTTTTGATCGAAAACGAAAATGCATGTATTTACGACTGAAGAATATGCAGATATTATTTTTGTGTACGGGCTTTGTAACGGAAACGCTCGGCAAGCAGCAAGAGAATACCTTCGTAGGTTTCCAAATAGACATCAACCTGCCCATACAGTGTTTAGTGCATCATTTCGCAGACTGAGAGAAACAGGTAACCCTGCTCCACTACATTCCGTTCGTCCCCATGATGTGAATGTACAAAATGAAGAACGTGTTATTGATTTAGTACTTGACGACCCTTCAATTAGTACTCGGCGTATAGCGAGCATGTTACAAATATCCCAAAGTTTTGTATGGCGTGTATTGAATCGAGAAATGTTACATCCGTTTCATCGCCAAAATGTTCAAGCATTACATCCTGGAGATACTGAGCAACGCTTAGCATTTTGCCACTGGATTATTCAGCAACATGCTCAAAATAATAACTTCATTTCCCAAGTTCTGTGGTCTGATGAAGCGTGTTTCACTAGGGACGGCATAAATAATTATCATAACGAACATGTGTGGTCCTTGCAAAATCCACATGCAATTAGACCAGGAAGATTTCAGCAACGGTTTAGTGTAAACGTTTGGGGTGGCATTTTTAACAATTCTTTGCTACCTGTATGGGTGATAAATGAACGCTTAAATGCAAATATGTACAGAAATTTCTTGGGACATAACCTTTTCGATTTTATCGACGACGTACCACTTAACATCGTTCAAAATATGTGGTATCGGCACGATGGTGCACCACCACATCGAGGAAGAGAAGTCATCGCTTGGTTACATGAACATTTTCCAAACATATGGATTGGCAATGGAGGTCCAGTAGTCTGGCCACCACGATCCCCAGATCTAAATCCACTGGATTATTATTTCTGGGGACACATGAAGCAGCTTGTGTACCATGTAGAAATTACTACCCGTCAGCAACAACTGCTTGTAACTCTTTAACCAAAATGAATCGGACCCATATTCATATAACATTTTTTCCTTAGAATCGCATCACCTTTCATCTGCCAAATTTGTCATAGAGCTAATGAATCACCCTGTATAGACAATTTCGACCTTTATTCCGGATATATTCTTAAATGTAATAAAGAATTTACGCTCAAAAAACATATAGCAAAGAGGCTTCCCAATTTTATAGTGACTAATATAGACTTATATTCCTGCTTTCTTAGATATTTTTATTTTTATCAAGCTACTATATAATATAGTTTTCGGTATTGCTGGTACTTCCACGAGGAACAGAAAGAACATTTTGGCTATGAAAACCAAGTTGAAAAGAGGAGTTTATGAAAGAAGTGGACTTATCCGATTATCTAGCAGCTGATGATTTCGATAGAAAACCTAGGAAATAGTGGTGCAAAATTGTCGATTTCTAAAGATCTGATCTGTAAAGGAAAAGATAATGTAAGAAGTAAGAGGGTAATTTCCAGTGCAAGGTATAGTCTTAAAAGATGTTGCTGATGTGCTAAAAGGAAAATTGAAATTCAACTCTAATTCTCCATCATTTATTTTAACTTGTTTTATGTAAAACAAACAATCATGTTCCAAGACTATCTTTAGGAATAAAGTTAAATCATCTTTTACGATTTCCAATAAGTATATAGACTTCTAAGCAAACATATTGAAAACCGAATACCTCAGAATCAACGATTTTAAGTGTGGATTCTACACTTAACATCATTGTATAATATCTATTGAGGGACTCATTCGATCAATGCAATGTCAACGTGACCTTGATCTGAAAATACATGTTCGGGTCTTTGCGTTAACGGTTAATTGTTTATTTTCCAGGCGTGCGTCGATGTTAAGAAACCAACCGTTTCGGTTCGTTCGAAAATAGAACGGTAGAGTTTTTATTATCGACTCACATATTCATTTATTTGTCGTAGCGGTACGAGTTTATTTGAACCGAACGGTTCCGTGTACTTTACGTTTTCAGGGATATCTTTGGCAGTGGATTTTATTGTGTTATTCCCCACAACTCGATCATCGTGACGTATGTTTTAAACGCTTAAGTAGGTTGCGCGTATGGTTCTTTGAAAAATTTTATTCCCCTATCGTCAATTTCAAAGAAATGGGTTTATGTAACGTTGAAGCATAAAAATATTTATATTGTTATTTATTAAATACATAATTTTAGATATTAAAAGTTTAAAAAAATTCAATTAATGATCATTTAAAACGATTTTGTATACAATAGTATTTTACTACATGCAACCTCATTCAAGTTGTTATATAATCATACTTTGGTCTTTTGTAAAAAAAATTCAATAAATAATGTTTTTATTGGCTTATAAAATCAACATTTTATCGACGCATTGATTTTTAATTTGCAAGTACTGATTTTTGCCAGTCGATTGTAATAAAATGTTATATAGAAACAGCATAAAATCGATTTTCATTAAATTAAAGAAATTTATCTACCTTTGTGGTTAAAAGATTACTTTATCTACCCTCTCTTAATAGGGCCTAATCCTTTAACATTAACTACATTTAGTCGTTAAATGTGTACTTTAACATCTGTAACGTAAAGCGTTTTTGGTTTATTTTTTGTGACCATTAAAATCAGTTTAAGGTTTATTTGCGCATGTGCATAAGCAAAATTAGTCATCTTCCACCAAATGCAAGTTAAGATCATTTATAGCTAATTGATGTAGTAAACAGAAAACGATTATACGTACACATCCAATAAAAAGAAAACAAAACAATTCATCTCAATTATAAATAATTCAATGTAAAATTCTTTATTGGATAAACAGTATTTATCACTGTGACCAATTTAAGATTTGAATTTGAATCACATTGCTAAAAGATAGAATCAGAAATATTAACTTTTATAAACAGTCCCACAACACATTAACAAAGTAAATAACAAATAAGAAACTTTAAAACATCTTCACTGGTGCACAATTCTTTTCTATCTGATTATTATTTAACATATCTTTGTTTCTTTTTTAGATACCTTCAAGAACTTTTACACTTTTTCGCTTAGTTTTCATACATTTTTGATAAATCTTTTGGTGCAACACAAATTTTGTCGAAACTTCTTAAGATACTTACCGGAAGCTGGAGCACGGGTGTATGACCCAATGTCCGGAGGCCTTCTGCCGTATGCGCTCCTTCATGAGCGCTTTCTTCGAGCCGAAAAGCTTCATCGCAAGCTTGTTGTCCGTCGGCTGGAAGAGCGCTTGTAGCTGGTTCTTGAGGAAGCTCTGCTTGCCATCCTGACCGGCGGCAGCCGCGGCCGATCCAAGCGGCGTAGGTCCTGGTTCCTCCTTCGGCGTCCCGTACAAGGAGACGTCGTCAACGCCGAAGTGGACCTTGCCGCTACCACCTTTGTAGTTCATGGCCATGCTGTTGTTGTCGTTGGGCAGGAAGTCGGTGATGAGGAGCGTCTCGTCGTCTAACGCGGTCACCAGCGAGTCGGTACACGTGTTCGTATTCTCGATGCTGATTTTGATCGAGTCATCTTTGGCGAGCCGTCGCGGCGGCGGCGGTTGCTGCTGCTGCGGCGGCGACCGAATCTCCTCCTCGGACTGAGCGGCGGCCACGCGGCCGTTCGCTAGGCGCAGGCTGGGCACGCGCCGACCGCCGCAACGCCTACCGACGACGCCGCCGGCGTCGCCCCCATCCGCACCCCCGTCCCTACTCAACGAAAAATGACGAAGGAAACCATCACCACGTGGTTGGAGATACCAACAACAACGATCCAAATCCAAAATGAATTTGCAGCAACATGAAAATAAACAGAAAACAAAAACAGATTAGTTCAAGTTTTGGTAAAATGTTAACATTTTTGGAAACATCCAAAAACATATTCATCCTAACTCAATATTTTGAACATACATATCAAATATTTTAGATTTAATGTAGCTTGATATTCCACTACTGGTAAAAATTACTTCTGGTGCAAAAGCACTTTTTTGTAATTCGCGATGGTAATGAAAGCTATTACAGTACTCAAACGGGTGCTGTAATGAGACTCCTTACAGCATCCGATGCTGTAATGAGATTTTAGTAACATTTTATGAAACCAGTTCAAATTGGTGAGATTGGGTCATTAATTTTTTAGTTGTCAATGTGACTCAATGTGTCAATGTTTGTCTATGGATGTTTAAACACGTTCTTAGCATCGATTACAAGGTCCACAATGATGAGGACATTGAACTCTGAGCAATTTCTCTTATTTTGGGAGGTGTACATGAAACATTTTTGTCAGGTGAATACATTTTGTGTTTTGACAGTCTCTAATTGTCAATTCAAATTTCTATTTGCAAGTGTTACGGTGTTACCAACTGCTACATACCTATTTCCCTACATTGTCAAAATTTATTTTATTTTTGAGAAAAAAAAAGGATAAAAATGCGAATTACAAAAAATAGTATAAAAATCTCGTTTCATAAGACTTAAAGCACTCATTCATTAAAAAACTCGTGGCTTCGCCACTCGTTTTTCAACTTGAATTCGTGCATTTCAAGCGTGTCTTACGAAACTTGTTTTTTAATATACTATTACACAGTGTTTAAACGCTACTCAAAATCACGTGATGGTTTTAAGTTAGAAAGGTGTTAGTAAGTTTTAATGTTGTAGATGTAGATCACACTATTTATATAATAATAATATAACCAAATATAGTAACAGAAATGAATGAGTGTATAACTACTTTTTTCGATTTTCGTTTTTTAACCCTTTGTTGCCTGTCGATACTCAAAATTACCACATTATTTCACACATCCAGTTCAATAGTGCCACAAATGAAAAAATTGAATATTTTCAGTTTATTATAATCGGTATGTACAGGGTGGGCAAATTTGGGTGTTATTATAGGCTATCTCGGAAACTATAATAGATACGAAAAAAGTAGGTGCCATGTTCCGGTCTCTTTTTCGAGACTAACCCAATCCCGCAAACACCACACCTCTATCTTCTTTTGTTTTAAGTTATAGCCAAAAAGTCAAATTTTCATAATTTCAAAAAATGTTCATATCTCGTTTATTTTTGAAATCAGAAAAATGGGGTTGATACGTTCTTAAGACACTTATTTAAGTAGAATATACTGCCGTTGAAAAATTTTAAAAATATTTAATGATTTTTAAGATACAACACAAAGTTGTATTTTTTTAAATACAAACTATACTTGATTATCATATTAATGACAAGAGCATATTTTTAGCTTTCCAATGATGTATCGCATGTATGGTGTATTTGCGCAAAATAAGCGTTAATTTTCAATTCCAAAATACACTGACCGGCAAAAAAAACCGGCCACTAAAATGTAGCCACAATTTCAAAGCTGGCTTACTTGCGAACCACTCATTCGATTTTGATGATTCTTTTTTTGATCGAAAGGTTGATTCTTTTGTAATATTCCTGCGATAGAAATTTTTATGCGGATATTAATTTGAGCATATACGGGGTGCAAGAATGAGAAAACCTTTTTTTTTCTCGAAATTTGGAATACCCTGTGGGGTGCAACTGCTACAGCAGAGGGTGTTAACTGGAATCCAATGGTAGCCCAATCTTTTTTGAGCATTTTGTTTTTTTATTCACTCTATTATCTCTGTTACTAACGAAGATGCAGTATATTAAAGCGATCGCCTGTGAAAACAAGAAGAGCGACAATAGTAGCTGATGACAGTTTTATTGTTCTAAGCAATCGTAGAACGACAGCTATAGAAGCTCGGTGTCGTCTTCAAATGGTGCATGTTGTTGATGTCAGTGAGCAATTGCGGCCAACTCTTCTTCAAAAGCAATTCGTAACTCTTGAAGGTTGTCCGGTAGGACAGGACGATGACCAATGCGTCTCTCAAGTTGGTCCCAAAGATATTCGATAGGGTTAAGGTCCGGGCTGCACGCTAGCCACTCTATCCGTTCAATACCCTACTTCATCAAAATTTTCGTTAACCACACATGCTACGTGCGGTCGCACATTGTCATGCATTAGCATGAATACGTCACCAATAAAATGGGAATAGAATCTCCATGGAAAGGTACTCTTTCCGAAATTGTGCAGGTCGCAAACCTTTCATTACGACGTCTCCACACTCATTCTCGACCATCAGGTGACCGGAGACAAAATCGAGACGCATCAGTGAAGAGCATCTTACCCCATTGTTCCATTCCCTAATTCATATGTACGCGCCCAAATTGAAGACGTGTTCGCCGATGTCTCTGGAGCAGCCGAGGTCTTTTGGCAGGTCTTCTTGCAGTCAGATCACTTTTATCAAGTCTTCGGTGAATAGTTCTTTCACTTACGGCAACCCCATGCACCATTTGAAGACGATGCCGAGTTTCTACAGCTATCGTGCTACGATTCCTCAGAGTGTTTAGAACAATAAATCGGTCATCAACTGCTGTTGTCACTCGTCTTCTACCGAAACCTTGCCGCCTAGTGAAATTTCCTGTTTCCGCATATTGATTCCAGGCATCCTGAACTGTTGTTGGGGGTATACCCAATGTATGGGCAACGTATTGCTGACTTTTGCCATCCTCAATTAAAGTAACAATACGCGCAACATCAGTTACTGACAACGGGATTGCTATTATGTTAAAAGACTGTAAAAATCTTTAACAACTGTCAATTTACTATTCGAAACAAATGACATACGCTACCTAGCGCGCCACCTTAGATTTTTTTATGCTTGCTTGTCTTGTTTTTACAGGCGTTCGCTTTAAAACACTGCATCTTCGTTAGTAATAGAGATAATAGAGTGAATAAAAAAATAAGATGTTCAGAAAAGATTGGGCTTCCGTTTGATTCCAGTTAACACCATCTGCTGTAGCAGTTGCAACCCACAGGGTATTAGAAATTTCGAGAAAAAAAGTTTTTCTCGTTCTTGCAGCCCGTATATGCCCAAATTAATATCTGAATAAAAATTTCTATCGCAGGATTATTACAAAAGAATCAACCTTTCGATCAAAAAAAGAATCATCAAAATCGAATGCTCGGTTCGCGAGAAAGCCAGCTTTGAAGTTTTGGCTAATTTAAAGTGGCCGGTTTATTTTGCCGGTCAGTTTAGTAAGCGCTAAAGTTCAAAATTTTGATTATAGTAGTTCGGACAGTAATTACTATCTAATTGCTATATGGTTTTGCACGAATATGGCAGAAAGTTGGTCTTGTACCATTATGCAGGATAAAGTTGGTTTTGTACCAACGAATAAAAACTTTGAATAGTTGATTTAAATTTCTCAGTGTCTTATTCCTGACTTTGTTCACCAATAAAAAATGATTTGTAGATAAAGTTTGTTTATTAAAAATACAAGAAACGTATTAATTAATGAATAATTAAACATGAACAACAACTTCAGGAACTAAACACTCACAGACTGTGTCATCTTCTTCTACTAAACTTATTGGTTGTAAGGTTAGAACAATTGGGTATCAATGAATGAAATCTTCGGTTTGCCCAACCATGTTCCCAGTTTTCCCCAACCATGAGATTTAGAAGTTTTTTCATATTAGCAACCTTTTCTGTTGAAATTGGGTGAGATAGAGGAAGATTTAGGGATCATAAACTGGGCAGCGGACTTTCCATGGAAACGATGTTTATGTGGGATATGGAGCCTTATCTATCATTTTCAAAGAATCATTTTTTAATTTTATCGCTTTATGTATTTAAAGATAATGAGGAATTTTTAAGCAAAAAAAATCATCAAATTGTTTGCATCAAATTTTTCAACTGCAGTATATTCTACTTAAAAAAGTGTCTNTATGGGATATGGAGCCTTATCTATCATTTTCAAAGAATCATTTTTTAATTTTATCGCTTTATGTATTTAAAGATAATGAGGAATTTTTAAGCAAAAAAAATCATCAAATTGTTTGCATCAAATTTTTCAACTGCAGTATATTCTACTTAAAAAAGTGTCTTAAGAACGTATCAACCCCATTTCTCTAATTTCAAAAATAAACGAAATTTGAGCATTTTTTGAAATCACGAAAATTTTACTTTTTGGCTATAACTTAAAAACAAAAGAAGATAGAGGTTTGGTGTTTGCGGGATTGAGTTAGTCTCGAAAAAAGAGACCGGGACATGGCACCTACTTTTGTTGTATCTCTTATAGTTTCTGAGATAGCCTGCAATAACACCCAAATTTGCCCACCCTGTACTGGTATATGTAACAACTCATAACCCTCATATATTAGCACCGATGTGGGATTTCCCTATTGAAGGGAACAAATTTTGTGGTGAAATACAGCCACAAGTTGTAATTATGGTGCTGCGTTACTAAAAATCCTGATTTTATCAATGCGATACCGCCATAAGTTGCCCTTATGGCTTAATAATTTTAGCAGTACGGTGTTTACATTTATTTTCTATCTACTTGTATCCTGATTGCATGATTCAAACGGAAGCAAGTATCGCGACTCAATTTCACACGACTCATGTAAGGTCCACCTTTATATCTCAATAAATTGTGTATAAACTTATTTGCGCTGATAGTAAACCGAATGGGATTATATCTCGTGGCAAAAGTTAGTTGAGCTGGCTTTAAAGGCATCTACTTTCGAAAATAACGGCAACAGTGATTTTGAGATTAGAAAACGGATATCCAATTTGTATGTTACTAATGTACATAAGGGGAAGTTAAGTGACGGAAATGTGTTAAATGAGGTAATTAGT